TTTTTTTTTCTTTTGTCTTGCAGGTTCCTAAATCTCTCTCTCTTGTTTCTTTTTGCCTTCTCCATGCAGTCTCTGAATTCCTTCTACTTTTCTTTTGTCCTTTTCTTCTCCAGCCTTTCCAGAACTGCCTCCTTGAATCTCACGTCACTTTTGGTTTCTTCCTTTTAGTATTTTTATCTACTGGAACTCTCTTTCAGTACTTTGGCACTAAAGATGGACTTTCTCTTTCTGGGAGCTATTTTAACTTAATTCGCTCTTCTCTTTTTCCACCCAGATTTTCTGGAGATCCTCCCTCCCCCATCAGATCTCTGCAAAGTCTTGTGCTGGGAGATCTAGATACAGTGCTGCTGTAAATGAATGTTTCTTTTCCCTTGTAATTACAGCTAATTTAAAGTTTGTAGTGTTTTTGATTTTAATGAAGGTATGGGATTTGTGAATGTGTCTTTTTATGTGATCTGTATAGTTTTTTTTTTTGAGAATGTGTGGAGAGATTCAGCCACTGTCATCTTGGCTATCTAGAAATGATGTCAACTGTCTTTTAACTCTGTATAGTATCCTTGAAGTAGAGAAGTTTTGCAATTTTATGTAGTTAAATCTGTCTCTCTTTTTTTTTTTTATAGCTTACGGACTTTTGTCATGCTTGAAGAAGGTTTCCTCTTCCCAAGATTATAAAAATGTAATCTCATATTTTTTCCAGTATGATTTCTTTAAACAATAAAATTTCAAAAATCTGAACGTATTCATATCATGGGACATACGAATCTAACTTTAATTTTTTCCTAGAGGTAGTTGTTTTAAAAATAATGTATTATTTCAGGGAGGATATGGATCCTTCCCAAATTCTAAGGTTACAGAAAGATTAAAGCTTATACAGGGCATTTGTACAAAATTTTGATGCAAAAATTCTCTAAAGGCAGGAGCCAAAGTATGGGATCCATGACTGAATCAGAGTTAATTAAAAGAGGTTGAAATAAATGTTAGTTAGAAATGTACCCCTTTTTACATAGGCATTTGAATTCATTTGCAACCTGTACCCATTTGTGAATAACAATTTAAAATAAAAGTATTTAAAGATTAGTAAATTACTGTGTTTTATGCACTCAATCAGGAATGGTAAATAAATTTCGATTCATGTGCCAGCGCCAACTGATTGATAATGGCTGCCTGGAACACTGAGTTAAGAAGGGTTCTGAGGCCAAATTTGAGCTCAGTTGAAAAGAAGGATATGATGATTACTAATAGGTAGGAGTTGGAGGGAGGGGCACATTGGTGGAGATGTTATAAATCAAATGCACATTTGCTTCCCCTATAAGCACCTTTCATCTTGGTCATCATTGCCTAGGATGGTGTCTAGCTCCTGAAAGAGCATGGACACGGAAGCTAGGCTGCCTGGGTTTGAATCCTGGTTCTGCTTCTTGGTAGTTTTATAATCTTGGTTAAATTAGTTACCTTCTCAGTATTTCACTTCTTATATCTATGAAATGGGGTAATAATAATATCTACCATATAAAATTGTTATAAAGAATGATGACATATGTAGTGTTTAGAATAGTCCCTGGTTTATTATAAGCATTAGTTATTATTCTTGCTGTTAGTATTACTATTATAGATGCTAAATACAAGTATATGTCTGTGGAATGAATATATTCCACTGTTTTATAGCAATGTTCCTTTGTGCATAGGAAAATATGCTAGTGTCTGTGAGTCTGCTAACCATGTTTTTGGAAAGCTTAGTTATACTAAATAAGAGAATCATATCCAAGATATTACTATATTCTATTTAGTATCTACTTATGCAAATTACAGAGAAATTAAATCATCTTTAAGTACTAGCCTTGCAAATCCAGATCTATAAAGTGACCCATTTCCTTACCAAACTCAGAAGAGGTTAATGGGAGGATGAATATGAGGTGTTATGAATAGCAATTGAGTACAGGACCATAATATCATTAAAGGTGAGCTAAAATATTCTGAACCTTTGACATTTATCTCCACAATGAATCTATGTTACCCTAATAAATTTCAAAGGGAATTAATTTTAATAATTACAGAAATCTTATTTAAATATGTCACATTTCAATAAAC